TGACAAACATATAGAAACAAAAAGGAGAAAGCAGCCATAACAGGCAGTTCCTGGTCAAGGTATGGATCATCCTCTGCATTTTTCAGCATCAATTCCTACATCTGGGCCAGGGTCTTCTTCTGCAGGTTCTTCCTTGGCGGGGTGTCTGAATTCAACGTCAAGAATAATAAATAGAAGTATTAGTTTCCAAGTTGACAATGAAGAGGTGATTATTCACAAGCATGCAAACCAGCAGAGATAAACGTAAAAGCTGGGTGGAGAAAGGGTTACGTTCAGCTAGGAATTCCTGAGCTTCAAGGCTCTCACCACCTCTCCTTCCTTTGCCTTGGCATCAAGTTCTGGTCTTGCTTGCTGTATTTCCCTCGGAAATGTCCTTCTTTATTACCCAGTAATACTAGAATAAACGTGGTGTTCTGATACAACAATTTAAACCCTGACACGTGGGCTTGACCTATCAAACCCGATAATATTTGGCTTTTTTTTCTCCAATTAAACCACGTGGGCTTGACCTATCAAACCCGATAATGTTTGGCTTTTTTTTAATTAAACTTTTTATTTAAATTTTAATTAATACTCTTTTATTTTTTATTTATTTTTTCACTTTTTATTTATTTTTATTTAAAATTTAATTAGTACACTCTCTGATTTTTTAAAAATTTTTAGTTCACCTTTTCAAAAATAGTAATTATTTTTTTAATTTTATAACACTTCAAAGAAAGAGATTGTTGTATTTTCTCTTTAATTATTGTTGTATTTTTTCTTTAATTTTTTTTCTTTTGATATTTCATATAAATAAATTTTATTGGTATAATGCTTTTATAAAATTAAAAATCTTTTGTTTTTAACAACCAAAATGAACCTCTATAAAAATAAAACATATGAAATAAAAACAATAATTATTTTAAAAATTTGCATGAGCATTTGTTTTTAAGTTTCTAGTTTAATTTTTAAATTGCATTAAATGTTTTTTTGATTTATTAGCTGATATATTTTTAATTTATTTTATTTATTATAGAATCTATCTTTAAATTAAAATTTAATGTAGAATTATTTTAATATTGTAACCATTAAAGTTATTATCATGTTCTATCCTGTATATATAAATAAAAAAGGTTAGTTTAGACAACCTAAATTATTCTGTTATTCTTAATTTTATTAAATATAAATAATAATTTGTTATTTTTCTAATAAAAAATTATAATACTTGAAATTACATTGATAATACCAGTATATTAAAATTAACTTGAAAATCTAACCGAAGTGAAGTACGGCTACCAGCTTTTGTATTAATTAATTAGTTTTACTAATCTACAGCTTCTAAGTTATTTGTAAGTCCCTGACACTCGTCATCTCAATTTTTCTTGAAAAAAGATATAGCCTTGAGTGGGCCACGTTCATTTCCCTCATCAAGAGGCCTTACTGCAACGAGCAGCACTAGCCACCCAGTGCTTCCTCATCCTGGTACAGTACCATATTTCTCTTCCTTTCTCTCTTCTGATTTTGCCTCTTTTATGGAACATATTGAGAGGAAAAGAGAGAACAAGTTTAAAGGACCTTTCTTGATCAATGAGTTAATCTAAAAGCAAGAAACAAAGTGGTGGATGAGTTTTCTAAAGTTTTGTTGTGTTTGACTTCAGAGATGAGTACAGGGATGTCTTCTCTACTGCATGGAAACCCAAACTGCAGCATCTTACGAAATAATGGAGCTACCTCCTTTGTGGGGTTCCCAGCTCTTCCATTCATGCAATTGCGAGCTGGAGCTTTCATGAGAGGTCAGTTAACAGGTTCTTTTTTTCTTATTATTTTGAATTTTGTCTTGTTTCTGTGCTGCTCATATGTGATGAAAGCTATTTAGATCATATAATTCGTTTCAAAATTCTTTGAATCTAAAAGTGGTTGTTTTTCTTATTCTTTTTTTGGACTCATTTACTTTGAATTGCTTCAAATGTATTCTCAAGGAATAACTGTAGTTGAGGTGTTCCTTATCTGTTGGAAGATTGATTGGTCTTAGTGAGATTAGCTCTAGAAGTTCTCTTTTGGGTATAAAAGTAGATAAAATCTAGGCATGTTTTTGCACTATTGAAGAATGCCCTGAGATTTGAGCCGATTTTTGAAACTCCAATTAATAATCTAAATTGTTCCCAATCTATGAGGGTAGCTATGAATACTTGTTGAGTATCTTTAGGTTGTTGATCCCTACGGAAATGCCCTTTTATCCCTTTCCTTTTGCAGCTGATTGGATACTATGATTGCCTCATTTCCTCCCAAGATTTTCTTTTGGTCCTTAATGAGGCATGTGATTCTTTATTATAATTTAGCAATTAAAATGTGTAGCCCAGCCAAGATGCACCGACATCAACTTCTGCTATGGATTCAGCATGTGTACACTGTTTCTTGATTTCATGTGTTTCATTCACAATGATGCTAGTTAACCTATAGTTCTAACTGCAAATTAATTACATGAAATTACAAATTTTTGTCCCAATTTTAAATTCTGTCCTGAATTCAGCATGCACAAAATGTTTCTTGCTTCATGTGTTACTTGTGTTGACACTGATATTAGTTTACCTTGAGCTTAAGTTCCAATAAAATATATGCCATTACCAATTCCCAACGCAACTGTTATTCTTTCTTTCATGATTTGAGCATTAGTTATTCTTGGATCCCTGTTTTGACAATATTTATCAAGCAGACTTGATGAGTACTGTTGCAAGGACACTTCTTGTTTTCAAGGCCTGTAGTGTTACTCTTATTTATGATATTATCAACTATTCAGGAAGATTAATTCCACAAAGCTTGTATAGAAAGGAAAAATTCTGTTTTCCAAGAAAAGGACTTGGCAGCTTGATGTCAAAGAAAGTGACCTTTATTACCCGTAGTAGCAGTGAAGATGGTTCCTCCAATCAAGGCAAGGCATGTACGAGCAGCTACTCATGATGAATTTGAGCGTTATGATTATTCCTTTTTTTTTTTAACTTAAAAAAATAAAGGATTTCCTTGTTTGTGTAAAAGTGACTGGCTTCTAAATGTCAGTGCCTCTTAATTGAATTTCAGTCATTTTGGTGTTCTAATTTTGTTGACTTGGATGTTGTATTCATATCTTTCTTGTACTTGTTCCTAGAACAGACTCCTTTTGGGTACACCAGGAAGGATGTCTTGTTGATTGGACTTGCAGTCACAGTTCTCGGCATTGGCTTGGAAAGTGGATTGGAGGTATCTTAGCATTCTCGTCCTTAAAATCATTCCAACCTTTTCCATTTCCATTCTTTTCTGTCCTGGCATTCTCATCCTTAAAATCATTCCAACCTTTTCCATCTCCGTTCTTTTCTGTTTCCTCTTTACTTGCACACCAATTTGCACTGCCTCACTGATTGATGGAGTAAACTGCTATGTAATGCATTAGCAGTTTTTATTGTGCTGCAATTTTTCGCTTGTTACATTAAGATGTTTTCTGGAATTTGTTTTTCTTAATCATGGATAGATATCATGCATTGAGATAGTTCGCTGTATACTTGCATTATCTGATGGTCCTTTTATGATGGATTCTGCAGTATGCTGGTGTTGATCCTTTACAAGCAGGGAATGTTGTTCAATTGGTATTAGTTCTGGGTCTAACAGTTGGATGGATTTCAACATACATCTTTAGGGTTTCAAACAAGGAAATGACATATGCCCAACAACTTCGTGATTATGAAAACAAAGTCATGGAGGTATTGTTTTTTGTAGAGTTTTCTTCTCAAATCTGCAAAAGTTAAGTATTTATTTGCCAAAAGTCGTGCATGATGCATATATGACATTCTTTTATTTACTGCGACAGTGATTCCTTTTTGATGGATTTTGTATGCTTGTTCTTAGATGCATATCTTGTAGTATCTCGTAAATGGTTGAAAAAACAAAATAAAACTACATGTTTCTTGTCTTACTTTCTTTTTCCTGAGTCCTGAATTGCTCTTGTTAACAAATTAGTACTTAAATATTTCATACAATTCTCATATATTTTCATAAAGAACGTAAAGGGTAGCCATTGAACTCCATTTCATTTAGTGGAAAAGGAGTTTTGGTAAAAGCTGACAATTTGATGTTTGATATGCTGCAAAAGTTTTCTTGCATCTACTCTTTTATTTGCATCTTCGTTTATCTGTCAACATGTACAGTCAGTCACTTCACACCTTTTTGTGTAGAACCGGACTCTAGATATGATTCTTTAAGTATATGGGATAAGTATGGAAAAATACCCAATAACCACTTTGAATTCCTCTTTTGTTTGTCCCTGACATGGAATCGGGCCTCAATCTGGTTTTGCAGAAGCGGTTAGAGGGCTTGTCAGAAGCAGAGTTAGAAGCGTTGCTTGAACAGGTTGAAGAAGAGAAGAGACGCCAAGCAAGTGGTGAGAAGATCAACTAAAGCTCCATTACCCTCTACTAAACCCTTTGTCCACAAAGTTGCTGTAAAATAATCAAGTATGGTCTCTACATTCATAGGTTATATCCATTTTTAAAAGTTTGAGGTTTACCTCAGTTGTATCAACCGATATGTCACCATGTGATGGTCGAACTGCAGAATCTTACAGTGGTGATCTTCATTGTCCAAAGTTACTGTTGGGTCATTCCTTTTATATTCATAAAAAAATGTGGCATATTGAATCAAAACTAGATAGCTGCAGTTCACCTCTTGCCTCCTCCAAGGGCTGAAACGTGTAAGGATCACAAAAGCTTGACGAGGGCTCTTAGCAAGTGGATTGAGATCCTGGTAAAAAAAAATTTGCTTCTTGTAACTGTCATCCCTTTTGAATAGAAAAACTTTAAAGTTTGAATGGATTCAGATTGAGCGATTCTCGGACAACCCCAATGCTAAGAATCCTTTTTAACATTAACATGGTGATATCTCTAAACGTTTTACGTTCTAGCCTGATATTTGTTTCCAGCAACTGTTGCTAGTCCTCGACTTAAAAATGTTCAAAAATTATTGATGATAAAATGCGCCATGCCCTTCCCTTTCACATTTTCAAAACATTTCTTCATAAAGTACTCTTTGATTTATTGCAAGGCCATTGGAAATGGACCAAGTAAGTTAATCCTCCGATGCTTCTTTGCCCTTCCATTCTTAACAGTAAAAAATGTTTTTGGATCATTTGCTTCAATCACCAAAGTGACTTTGCCTGCAAACTAAATTTAGTACGATAATCTCAATGTGATTTGTATATACATTCTCATTATAGAATTAATATATAATCTTGTCTTAATTACAATACATTGTATGTCCTAAAATATAAGACCATCATGTATAGATAGCATGATATTAGGGATATCAAATCACTAATGTCTGTTACCCCCCTCCCCAGCTTGAGATGCGAGAAAGCTCAAATTGGCAAAGCAAATGGAGAGATGAGGGCCCTTTGGTGAAAATATTGGTGAGAATATCGGCCACATGATCACTACCGGAAACAAACTTGACTCTGATATCTCTCGACTTTCTTGAACAAAATGCAAAGCAACCTTTAAATGCTTGCTTAGTCCTAGCATGATTAATAGGATTGACTACGAGATAGGTGGTGGAAATATTATCAAGGTAGACGAGGTGCAATAGGTAAGTCACTAAGCAAAGAATGAAACCAAGATGATTCGGCAACATCAGCGGCAAGGGTACGATACTCAGATTTTATACTACTTCATGAAACTTGGGATGACCACACAGCAAGATCAGAACTTGATGCCAAGGCAAAGGAAGGAGAGGTGTTAAGAGCCTTGAAGCTCAGGAATTCCTAGCTGAACGTAACCCTTTCTCCACCCGGCTTTTATGATTATCTCTGCTGGTTTGCACGCTTGTGCATAATCACCTCTTCATTGTCAACTTGGAAACTAATACTACCATTATTCTTGACGTTCGTGATCATTATGGCTAGAGAGGAACCATGGAAGGCGGTCTACAAGGGTACAACAAGGAGGAGGTAGGCCGTGAATTCATACACCCCGCCAAGGAAGAACCTGCAGAAGAAGACCCTGGCCCAGATGTAGGAATTGATGCTGACGAATGCAGAGGATGATCCATACCTTGACCAGGAACTGCCTGTTATTGCTGCTTTCTCCTCTGTCTCTATATGTTTGTTAGCTCTCCTAATAGATATGTTAGTAGCATGAAGCACTAGCTCTGCTCTGCTGAAAGTAAAATTAAACAGGCTGCTTGCTAGCATCATCTCTTGTAACATGTTTGCTAGCATCATCGTCCTGTTTGTTGCTGTCTGTGACATCTCTTGTAACATGGCAGTGTTTCATGACCTTCCACTTCGGTTTCAGAAATAGCACATGCTGTTTTCCACTTCGGTTTCAGAAATAGCACATGCAACAACTTTCTTGAAATTACAAGACAGAATCTACTTTTCCGAAACTTTAGAAGGAACAGTCAGTGACAAGGAAAATTATTGCCTTGGAACAACAGATCATACCTGCAGGAAACACGTACCACCTTTCACAAACAGGAAGAAAACTTGGAGCAGAACTTTTGTTTCATTGATATAACATGTTGAACATGTACAAGTAAGATCGATAACAACCTCAGCATAGCTGCCTCCACACTAGAAGTTTAAACTCTTTGGGTATCCTTGGCCCTTTCTTCCCAGGTCTAAATGAGAGTTTATAAGATGTAATAGCATGTCACATTTGGGATACTTCCTTTCTTCAGATGAACAGAGATAGGATCAGAATGATTCTTGCTGGGTATTCCTGAAACTATTAACGCGGAGTATGATGTAGATGTATGGTAAATTGCCGGAAGAAATTGGAAGAATATTTATGGAATCTTACAAATGTTCTTGTCTCTTGCACGAAAACGATAAGAATTTAATCCGAGTCTTAATGAGTAACTTCGGCAGAAGTTGACTTGTTACTTCTTTCCTTTTCTGACAGAATTCTCTCATCTTCAGAGAACCGTTCTTTTTCATCCAAAACTATCCATTCCATCTCTAGAGCTCTTCTAAGTTTTATCTGTTCAGCCTGTCCACAAATACTCCCTGAAATAAAATTGCATAATGATTGAATGATAAGTAAGCCAATTCTGAATCGCTACACAGCTTGCCTTGATACTGGAGAAAACACGGGCAATCTAAAATGCAGAACGTAGGCAGAGGCCCAGTACAATTTCTTAGCTGAGCTTTGTCATTACCTATTGATGAAAGACAGGTTGGAGAGAGAGCCCTTTCTTTGCAAGATTTTCACCCCATTTTTGGAGTAATTGCATGTCCAACGTGTCCAATTCCATTCTTTGCCTCTGCCATCTTCCATCCCGGCAAAAAGTTCATTGTGAGCTTAAGCTTCAAGAGCAATAACCATCCCCAGTCAAAGTACTTCTTTTATTCTACTCAACAGCTCATTCCAGAATATCAAAATGTTTTAACCACGCAAAAGTCATATAACTATTTACCACCAGCATGTTTACCTGTAGGATTAGAAAGCAATCATGTCTCCATGGATCAACACCTCTACAATCATTAAGCTGACCTTTGGAAATAGAAACCCATCAGTTTGAAGGTAATATCAGATTGCAAGGGGATAACAAAAGATGACAGCAAACCACATGAGCAAATAATTATACCCGAAAAACTCATTTTTCTTGGTAGAACTGTCGCATGGTTTGATTAATGCTTTTTATAAGTTTTAACCCATAGCTTTCCGAAGATCACCATCAGGCTTCGAAAAAGAATAATGCCATAGTAATTGATTGCGTATGCAAGGCAGATCTCAAAAGAAAAACAAGAGAAATAAACACGAGGCCATTTTACTTTTTCCCTAAGAAGAAACATCAGCTAACGTTCAAGACAGATTAAAAATTAGAAAAAAAAAATGTAAATTGTGATATTCTTTAAGGGTAAATTTTTTGGTCTGGTGTTCCAAGTGATAATACAATGGATCCAGAAAAGAGTTCACGGCTATATTCTTTACAGAGTAAGAACAGAGTTTTGTCTATACTTACAAGTGAATATGTATGATGAAATACAACACTAATATACATTATAATCAGTACCTAGAAAGCAGCAGTAGTAATTTCATTCACCATGATGATGCCTAATTGCAGGATGATAATAGGAAGGTCTCCATACATCCTCCTCAAGCACACAAATGTTTTGCTCCAGCTTTTTTAAGTTGATACTCCTCAAGTGTTCTTTCCAGGAAGCGGTCTGGAGTGAGTCCATTCAATAACATATTGTCATACAACATCATGGCTTCAGTTAATCTCCCAACCTTGCAATATCCACGGATCAGAATCGTATAAGCTATCACATCAGGCAATAAATGTTTGTCTAGTGCACAATGAAAAGCACAAGACGCTTCCTTCATTAGACCTCTTTTACACAGACCATCAATGAGAATGCTGTAACTGACAATATTTGGAGCAATATTGTTTTCAAGCATCTCATTATACAGCTTTAAGCCACTTTCCATCATACTTTCAGATTTGAAATAACCATGAATCAAACAACTATATGTCACCAAATTGGGTTCGGGACCCTCTTCCAGCATTTTGGAAAACATCAACATGGCATCATCCATTCTACCTTCTCTACAAAATGCATCAATCAGTATGGTAAAAGTAATGGCATTGGGTCTGAGCTGTTCACTTGTCATCTTCGCAAAAAGCTGAACTGCATCATCTAACCTTTTGAAATTGCAGTAACAGCAAATCATTGTGTTGAAAGTACAAACATCAGGTTTTGGCCCTCTCTCAACAACATGGACAAAGAGTCCAACTGCAGCCTCCAAATGGCCTTCCCTAGAATGCATATTAATGAGAACATTATAAATTGCAATATCAGGGGCCACAGCATTCTTGCACATGAAATAAAAAATACATAATCCTGCAGGTGATTTTTTCAGCTTACAAAGTCCATCAATCAGAGTGCAATATGTTATAACATCTGGTTTGAAATCCTTCTTGAGCATTTGGAAGAATAACATCAGTGCCTCATCAACTCTACCTAATTGAGCAGCGCCTTTAATAAGGATGGTGTAGGTCACTGTGTCTGCTTTTATATTTAACATTCCCATTAGATAGTACACCTTCATAGCACCAACTATGCATTTCAATCTACAGAAGCTGTCTAGCAAGGTGTTCAAAGTAAAGACATTGGGACTTAAACCCCTATTCACAGCTTGAAAGAAGAATCTTAGTGCATCACCCACCAACCCTTGTTTGCATAGACCATTTATCAGAACATTGTAAACAATGGTATCAGGTGCACACCTCTTCTTCATCATATCCTCATATAAATAAAACCCATCCCTTAGATTTCCTGATTTGCAAAATCCAGCAATGAGAGCGCTGTAAGTTAAAATAGATGGCTCAAAACCAAGTTTCAGAATCTGAACAAACAGTCCACAAGCCTCTAAGATCCTACCATTCTGACAGAACCCCTTTATAAGAATGCTGCAGCTAACCACATTAGGTGAAATCCCTTCATTCAACATTCTCTTATAAATCTGAATTACCCTCCCTAAATCCCCGATTTTCACATATGCATCCATGGCTGAGCTGAAACCAACAATATCCAACTTGATACCCTTATCTAATGCTACCAACAAGAGCCTTTGTCCATCTTCCAGCCTCCCTGCCTTAAACAGGCCATCAATAAGAATGCTGTAGACAATTAAGTCAGGTGCCACACCATTCACTGCCATAACATCAAAAAGCACAAACGCTTTATCCAATTTTCTCTCTTTACAATATGCATCAATCAATGTGCTAAATGTGACAACATTTGGTTTTGGGCCAATCCTGACTACCATATTAAAATAATCATCTGCAACTCGTATATCATTTTGCATCCAAATACCTTTTAAAATCTTATTGCAAGTAATGATATCCGGAACAAAACCTCCTTGAATCAAAGCTTTATGGAATCTCAAACCCATTTCAACCTCACCCTTGTTCATAAACCTATTCATTACAAACTCATAAACACTAAAAGGCTGTTCTCTCATAGCTGAACACAGCTCACCATACTTATCCACAATTACATCAACACAATGTGAATCAACCAAAGAACCCAACAACAAGTACACCACATTTGGTGAAACAAAAATACCCTTTACACAAACATGCATGAATATATCAACAGATTTATCAAACATCCCTTTTCGACAGTAACTCTCAATCAAAAACCCATAAACAACACTATGGTTTGTCGAATCCAAATCACAAAACCCATCACGAAAGGCATCCAAAGTGTCATAAGCCTTTCCAAATTGCATGATAAACTTATCGAAAACACAAGCAGCACAACTAAATAATTGGTTTTGAAGCAAGACATGGAGGAGGGCACAGAATGATGGTGCAGAGGGTGGTGAAATGAAAAAGCTCTCAGCCCACTCAAAGAATCTAATAGCCGAAAAGGGCTTAGGCTGAAGGGATAAAATAACGTCTGGTACATGGTAAAGTTGTAATTTAGAGAGAAGAATAGGGTTTAAGGGTTTAGGGTTTTCTTGGTTGTGAAAGGCTTTAACAATTTGGTGTATAAGGCTCCAGTTCTTGTCAGAAGAACTAGAGAAAAAGTAATAATAAGAGCAACGATTGTGACTTTTAGTAATAGACGAGAAAAGAGCAGAAGGGCTTTTGATATTAACTAGTATCTTTGAGATTATTAAGGATGAATTACAAAGGAACATAATTTTGAGTACCATTTAGTCTCCGTTTGCCAGCTGACATGCCCCTTGTTTGGCCTGTGAAACAACTAAGGGGAGACAGGAGACCCTTATCTAGATTTCATAGTTAGGTCATCATGAAACCCATGAAGTCACACATTTTTTTCTCTGCAAAAAAACACAAACAAGGCAATCATATATCCAGAAAGCAACCTAGAAACAACGAAGATTGAAATTTGAACACTGTCTCTTTGAAAGTTTACAACTTTGATACATTAGTGAAGTAATTACACACTAGAATGAACTGTAAGTAGCTCAAATTTTACAATTTAGCAATCAAGAAAGCCCAATTAGCAGATAAAATACAGCAAACACAAATAGAAAGAAAGAAGCTTGTTTTCCATTACTTATTACCAACTTAATAAAGCTAGCCAAAAAAGGTGGAAAAAAAACGAATTTCTCATTCAAAACAAAGAGCTCTCCAACATGATTAAATTTCAATTGAACGCTTATTTACCCAGTTAAAAAGAAATGAACTTTTTGAGAGAGAAAGGAAGAGGTCACCAACATTTTTTTTATTGATGAAGATACATGCAAAATTAGGGTTACAAAGCTTGGTCATTGATTTTATATCTTTGAAGCAGGGAAAGTTTAGGAGTGTATTGATTTTATATCTTTGAAGCAGGGAAAGTGTAGGAGTAAATGGGGCGTGTTTGGTCTCTAGGAAAATGGGGTTTCTTTTTCTTTTTTCATTTTTTTCCCTAGGAAAGTCTTGCAATTAGGGTGCTATGGATACAGTTTGATGGAATTTAGGTTTATAATTATATCCATATAAATTTGATTCATTTAATTATTATTTTTTATCTGAAAAGGTTAGAAATATCAATTTCATCTATTTTTTTTTATATAGATATTATAAACATATATAAGTTAGCTTCTATCGCTAATTCTTATGGATCCATATCTAGAGATAGATCTACAACATGGCTGGTAAATATCATGGTATCTTTAATATTAAATTTAATTTCTATATTTTGCAGTATCTTTAAATTCTATCTATCTCCATCTTTGCTCTCTTAAAGAGATAATCTTTCTTCTTCTTCTTTTTTGTTAATAAATCTAATCAAAAACTCACTAAAAAGTTTAAAGTTAAAATATTTTTAAATAAAATAAAAAAAAATACTCAATCTATAAACTATCAAATATAAAAATAAAAATAATATAAAGTATACAGATTGGATTAGTTTAACTGAAATTTAAAATTTAGCCTAACTCTCAACTCATAATATCTATTTTTTAAGATTTTTTATACATCATCATGTATAATATCTACATATTCCGAATTTAATAAATCAAATCGGATCACGTAGTGTAAATATTATAAATAATTTTATGTTTTTTAACACCCCTTCTTGCAATTTATGGCACACCAAAAAAAAATTATTTTTATTTTTTTAATTTTAAGAAAGGTTCGACCCTTGCAAACATTTTTTTAAAATAAAAAATAAAAATTTTCTTTTCAAGGATCAACACAAGCACACTACAAAATCCATCATAAAAGGACCGTCGGATAATGCAAGCTTACAATAAATTATCTCAATACATGATATTTATATATAGTTAAGAAAAACAAATTTCAGAAAACATCTTAATATAATAAATAAATCATTGCAGTTCAATAAAAAAAATTTATATTTACAAGTGAAATAGATTGAACCGGACCAAATCAAACAAGTTCAACTAAAAATAAAAACCTACTATAAGAAACAAATAAGTATAAGAGCTTAACTTCTTTTCTTGTAGACAACAAACTCTAACTCTCAAATCATTCAAAGTTGCCCCCTCTCTAGATCTCCCTCTACTAAAACATTTCTTTTACATGAAATTTCCCCGGATCAATTTTCATCACAAGATAAAAACTTATCTTCTCTCTCCTGACATGCACAAACATTAACTTCCAAGTCACTCAAAGTCCCTCTAGATTTCCGTACTATTTTTCTCTTTTAATCTACCTATGATTTGTCAATTTCATTTCATGAAACCTGGCAGCACAACCCTAAGTTATTTTTTTATATATTCTCAGTCAAACACATCATCATAAACCCTTACAAATCAACTATTATCGATCTACCTCCACAAAACCCAGTTTAAGATGATTTTGGTTTGAATTTGAAAAGTTGATAATTTACTATTTTTTAAATTATACAAATTAGACAACTAAAAGATCCAAAATTGATTAAACTAATAGTTTTAACAACTTGGAATAAGGGAGGCACAACATTTAATGTCCATGAGTGAATTTTACTATCACACCCATATTGAATATTATTCAATTTTTCCCTTCTTGCTTAAATTCTAACTAATGCCCTATGTCCCCGGTTGTTCCTCTCTTTGCACCTTAAATCCATCTCATATAGCACCAAGCCAAGTAAAAAAAATATATGGCCAGTAATTTTATATGGTTCCTTCAAAGAAGAAGATATATAAGAAACTAAGTATATTGATGATCCATACTTTTATGAAATTCACTCTTATTCAAACACAATTTTAAGATTAAAATGAAAATACGATTCTTTTCTATAAAGGTACATGATTTCTTATGGGCTATGTATTGTTCAGACCAGAAACAAAAACAAGAAAAAAAGTTAATTAGTAGTAAATAATAGTCTTGGTGTGTGTTTGTGTATAACAAAAAGAAAAAAATAAAAAAGGTCATCAATTGAATTGATTAGATGAAAGGAATTTTTTCAAAAAAATACAGAATTTAAGACAATTTAATTGATCACTCCAATTTAGCTGTATTTCTATCCTTGACTATAGTTTATATGAAGAAATTTTGTTCTTTAGTAATCTAGCACAACAATTGTTGGATACTAAAAAATTCATATCCAACCTAATTATACTATTGAACTCTTGTTTTTCACCTGACTCAACTATACCAGTTCTATATAGAGAGACTAATTATGTAATTAAGTTGTTTAAAGCATTATATGTAAACTATAAATACTAAAAAAGCTTATTATAGATATGTGAAGTGTGAAAATGACTTGTAAATTAAAAATGAGAAAATCTAAGAATCAAAGGGGTTCTTGCCTTAAACAAAACAATATAAAGGTTGACAGTTTAGTATTTGATATAAAAGTTGAAGTAAGATTGTATAGAATTTGCATGATCACAATAGAAGGTTATTGAACTATTATAAACATACCATTAATTAATGCACCCAACTCTTCACCAAGTTTGACCTTGGTCTAAACCACGGACAAACTAATGCTATAACCACTTCCAAGTTGCAACCTTTATAAAGAAACTAATTATGTAATCAAAATCATTATTCAATTACTCATTCAATGTTGATATTTTATGTTCAAAATCGTCATTTTCTATTATTTTTTTTATGTTGGTTGAATATAACACTCTATCTCTTATGTCGTAAACAATTGCTTTCATTAATTCTAGATCAGATATTACATGGGTTGTATGGTAGACAAACATATTTTTTTATCCTTCATAGCCCTTCTAACAAAATAAAGCACTCATTATTGCAACAATAAATAAAACACAAAAGTATTTAAGCAAAGCCCAGAACCAAGTGAACAAGTTGTCAAAGAGAACCCTTAAAAAATGAAAAAGAACCCACAGGGCTTGAGAAAACAAGCAAACATAACAGTGTAAATGAAAGAATAAAAAAGAAAACTTTGATCATCATACAAGATAAGGTAAGGATTAAAGAGATTGCTTATTTGGTTATTAAAGACAAATAGAGAGAGACCAAACAATTAAGAGAAGATAAAGAGATTTAAAGCAATTTACTAAGCTATAACAAGTATCAAGCAACAAGTATCAAGCAATGATAAAATACAATTCATATTTTATGTATAAGACCAAGACTCCAAGTACTAGCAAACATCATGTTAAACCTGACCATTTAATTAAAATTGTGGAAATGAGTAGGATGGGAAAGGAAAACAGCTCTTGTTTTTAGGCTATATTTGTTTTCCGAAAAGTGATTTTTGAAAAATCATTTTTCAAACTTTTCAATGTTTATTTATATTAGAAAAGTTGGTTAATGGAAAATATTTTCTAGTCAAAGAAAAATTTGGCTTAGTTTCAAGGAAAATGTTTAACTGAAAAATTTGGACGAAAAACATTTTTCGGAAATTGTGAAAAATTCAGGAATATCATATTATTTACTAATTATATCAAATTTGG